AATATTTTGCACAGGATGATGTATTTTTTATTGATATCTAAGACAAAGTGTTCCAAAGGGGGGATAGGGGTGGAACTTTTTTCGAAAAAAATGAAAGTGGAAATTTTCGGCATCAGTGTGTGCGACCTCGGTGTGTTGGAAAAGAGAAGTATTCGAATTTGCTTTAATTGAGATTGAAAATGGGAATTAAAGTGTCCAAATCAAATTTAGTTTTTACCAATGCAACGTACGTACTGAAACCAAAGACATCATTAACAAAAACAACTGCCACTGTCGTCGAAACAATTGAGCAAAATCAAGAAGAAATAACACTGGTTTGGTTAGATGTAAAACCCGTTGTTGATCAGTTAATTCATCGAGAACAAAAACTTCGAGAAATAAACGATTATTGTAAATTTTATTATGACCAAAATTCTTGTATAGAATATATTCATTCATCTGTGAATGTTAAAGTATTTCTTGTTATTCCCGGTTCATTAGCAAATAATATTTTGTTAAAAGTACACAAGTTGGAACAAGTTGATTTCGTTTTTATATATTGTATAGAACGAGATAGATATTTATCATTGTTAAATGATTATTCAAAACTTGTTGGCATTTATACCAGTGAAAACGATCTTATGAAAAGTATTCAAAATACAATAAAATTAGTAGAAAAGCGATTGATTACATTAAACTCATACAATCACAAACAAAAGTCAACAAGAGACTTAACTACTGAATCTGGTTCATTTTTATTTTTTCAATTATTTAAAGATATACTCATGAATATGCCACAAACAAACGAATCCAAACACGAGATGATTCGAAAATGTAGAGACTATTATTGTGATAATAAAAAACAGTTAAAAAATATAGAATTATTTAATTCAACTTACCAGTCAATCGACGCTATTCAATGGTATACAAACAGCAATTTTCCATTGTATAAACTTATCAATAAAGCTCTTCGAACAGAAGACATTAATGAATTATTTCATTTTCGATTTTTTATTGTTGATCTAAGCTCAAATTTATTTAAAACATACAAAGATTATAAAAAAATGAACATTAAATCACCGATTGTTCATCTGTATCGTGGAACATATTTATCAATTGATGAATTGCAAAAGTTAAAAGAAAATGTTGGTAATTTAATATCGACAAATGGTTTTCTATCAACAAGTAGATGTCGAATGGTTGCAACAATGTTTACGGATAATGCTATATTTGAAATTGAAACAGATATTCGATTAAAGACAGTTGTATTTGCTGATGTAGCTCAATATAGTAAATTTCCAGATGAACAAGAGGTATTGTTTGATATAGGTAATGTCTTTTGAATAATTCAACCCGTTGCGGTTGATGATAGACTTACAGCGAAACTACCTTAGGTGTCCTGCCGCATTTTGCGTAAAAGACACAAAGTCGTATGTAATCGATTGCTGTTTATGACCATCGGGGCTGTGGATAGACCTTAGGGTGTTATATTTAGTTATCTATGTATGTAAATGTTGATGGTTATCTGGGAAAATTCTAATAACTTCACTTTCAATCCAGGACGAAATCATCACATTGTGAGGTTCTTTCTTTCAGAATCGCTTTGCATGCAATGGTTAATAGCCAAAGAAGATTGTAACTACTACACATACTGTATCTCAGCAAATTAACAACTATATATAGTATATTTCAGCTACAAGAAGATCGCTTAGGAAAACTGTGAAAAACACATATTGTACAAGAGAGAGAGAGAGGAATAGGAATGAAAAATACCCATCGAAAAGAGTGAACAGAAAGAGAAAACTTACGTCATAGAAAAGCAGAAGAGTGAATACATATAACAGAAGAACCATCGAGTGAAGAGAACATGTACATTTGAAAGATGGCAGCTGCTGATATGAGATTTAGTTTATATTTCCTAACAACATTCAGGGTACCGAAAATTCCGATAAAAATCAAGAAAATATGCCGAGTGAGTGTCAGATAGAAGCTAACTTCTCACATTACTCAAACATGACTGAATTTTAATTCACACCTGGATTGAGCTTTTCTAGAATTCTCTACTTTTTTGTTTCGTTTTTCCTGCATCTGAGATTTTTGCTGTAGATCTCAAAACTTCGCTAAATCGTGACCTCTAATCATAGAAAGTTACACACATAGGTAACTTGATGTGTTCTATCGCCTAGTCAGATCAGAACTGGCCTGTAAGAGGAAATCTCAGGTTTTGCAAAGGCTAGTCTCTACACAAATTGATGTCGGAAAGTCTATGGGCAGCCCCGATGGTTGTATTCATAAACAGCAATCGATTATACATAGTTCGGTGGCTTTTACGCAAATGGAGCTGCAGAGGTTTTTGACAGATCTCTCGGATCGAATGAGAGAGTTAGTATAAGAAAACTTTTCTAGGGTTCACGTGCAAAAATAGCTATTACCCTGCATATCGCTAGTAAGAATCTAAATTCAAGACAATCTAAATTCAAATTTCGTTGTCTGTTTACAAATTTAGGTGCAGCATTTCAAATTGATAGTTGTGTTTACGATAGTAATACTGATAAAAAATGGATTATTAAAATGACAGCTACTGACAAAGGAGCAGAATTAGCAAAGGAATATTTTGAATTTCAGAAGAAAAAAGTTGCTGAATCTGATATTGTTTTAATGTTCGGACACCTTTTAATTGAAATGGGTCAACATCAAAAAGCTCAAAAATATTTTGAAAATGTATTACGTCAGAAACCAAATGATGAAGAAGTGGCTTGTATTTATCATAATATTGGACGAGCGTATCGCTTAAAAAACGAGTACGAAAGAGCAATTGATAATTATAATCAATCGTTTCAGATGCATAGCATTGCTCGACCACCTCGATATTTGAGTGCTGCTAAATCACTAAATGGTATCGGTGTTGTTTATAATGAAATAAAAGCATATCATAAGGCATTGGAATATTTAATAAAAGCCTTAAATATGTATCAGAAAAGCTTACAAAATGAACATATTGATATTGCCGGTACATTAAATAACCTTGGAAATGCTTATCGTGGAAAAAGAGAATTTGACATAGCACTTGAATATTTAAAAAGAGCTCAAAATATTAATGAAAACATTTTACCACACGATCATCCAAATATTTCACGAACATATAATAACATGGGTAATATTTATTATGCGAAACGAGACTATCAAAGAGCTTTAGAAACTTATACAAAAGCTATTACAATGAATAAGAAAATTTTACCTTCAGATCATCCAGATATAACACGTTGTTTGAAGAATTTGGGACTTGTTCATTGCAATATGAAAAATTATGATCAGGCATTGAATTTTTTCTCAAAAGCATTAGAAATAGTTGAAAAAACGTATCCACAAGAGCATCCATGTGTCACTGACATACAACAGCAAATTCAGATTATTAAGAAATATAACGAAATATCATGAAATTTTTCTAATAACACTTTGTAATGTCAAAACCTGCCTCTTATACCAATATATTATATAGGAGTGCAAGTCAGATCGATGATCATTTTCATCGTTGAAATTTGCATAATTTTACTATGCCTGGAACCCGTTACACATTTCAGAATTTTTTTCTCTACATTGACCTCATAATGACTGTCAACGCATAGACTAAAGTCAGCTGTAAATAACATAATATATTTTCACTTTTTCTTTTCTCCCATGATGTTGCTTTTATATGTGTTTGAATCATTTGCAAAATATAAAAAATACGGTTCGAGAATTGCTGATACAGGAATCATGCAATTATCTGAAATCTCGCAAGATCACCATGAGTGCGTTTCTTGCAAGTTTCCTCTTCGCGCACCCAGCATGTGAAGTTTGAGACGTAGAGGAAGTTACCAGCAGATTTCCATATTTTCGCCTAATATTTTTATTAACGACTGTGCTAATTTTGCTGTTGAGTGTGCCAGACAGAACTCAATGAGCTCTATAGAATGGCGAAATTAGTTTTCAAAATATTATTTCCACAAGTTTTAAACTGCAAAATGCTAATTTTTTCAATGAGATAAAAGCTCCAAATTTTGTATTTTGGGCTAACATTTTTTATGAAAGTTGTGCCACCTCTGCAAACAAGTGTGCCATATAAAACATGACGAGCTCTATCGAATGCCATGTTTGAATCTAAAAGACACTTACTGGAAAACAGCCTGAGAGTAAAATAGTGTATTTTATTATTTTTATTGACGGCTGTGCCACCTCAGTTAATATTTTCTTTTAAAAATGGCTTGAACAAAAATCATTTTGGTCATATGACAGCCTCTGAAGATAATGCTTGACATTGTCAAAAAATCTCTCTTAAAAACTCAAGAAAAAGACCACAAGAAATAAAATAAAGCTATAAAACATTGCTATTTTATCCATGTGCTTGTTGTGTATGTGAGTTTCGTTTGTTGTTATATGTACTTATTGTTAAAATCCGTAGTTATGGCTGATCGACACTGATCCCGACATAAATTTAATTTTCTGGGAAAATAATACTGTTACTATTATTTTATTTAAAATAATAGATAATATATCAGTATTAGTTTTAATTAAACTTGAATGAATTTATAAACCAAGATAACTAAAACGGAATATTCCAGATCTTTTTATTTTCCTTATGGATCTTCATGTCATGAAGAACTCATCCATTTTAATGCCACTGAAGAAGCGAGACAAATACTTTCATAAAGGAATAAAAAGAGTTCAGAAATTACTCTGCTTTTACATATATTTGCTGATAAGAAAAACATATATATGTTTTAGGGATCTGAAGAAATCTGCTGCTAACGTCCCCTACGTCAGCTTGAGGAATCCAAGAGAAAAAAAAGTAAAACTTATACTTTATTTCTATATAAAACTTTTTAAAAGAATTTGAAACACCAGACGTTACGGTCTCGATAGCCTTTAACAAGCATTAAACGCGATAAAATCAATAAAACCAACAAGACGCTAAGGAACAAAAATTTTGAGATTTGGACTAAGCCTGAATCATGATCGACCATATTTTATGGATGATTGGACATTAACTGAGTGCAGTAAGAAAACACAGCATACATGACTCGTCCCAACAACACTTTCGGTACAATAAGAGGTACATTGCACTAAAATGCGCCTATGTCTCGAAACGTATCTTTGTTGATCTTAGGTACTTTTGCTTAGTTATTAATTCAGTGCTAAAGTGAAATTCTTTCTCCTCAATTGATACTCGGGTTTTAGTAATTGTATTATATTGCGTATTTCTCTCTAGCCTTGTATATCACAAAATGCGAGGAGATAAAAAAATCTTTTTTTTTCAAACACCTAAAATGCCACCTTATTCGACGCCAAATTTGATCTTGATTCCGATGATGGTATTATTTTTGGTATAGGCCTTCTCGAAAATGAAAATATCGGCAAACATATGTCCAAATTGTGGCATAAAAGTACACAATGGCTCTTGTCCATTTCATTTGTGGACTTCTATCAACAATATTCGGCTTGTAGATGTACGAACTGAGTGTTCTTGACGATGACGAATCATTTTCACTTTTTCAGGTAACACAGTCATCGTTATCATTAAAACCGGAAACTTCGAAAAACTTGCTAAATGCATGGACCTAGCTTGACTTAGTGTTTTTGGTTAATGTAACATGCATGGTCGATGTGCCCTAGAAACAAAATTTCTTTAGCATTTCTATACACAGAATTCAATTCTGCATTTAGTGCACATGTCCTTTACACCGAAAAGAATCATGGCAAAAACTAATAAGCGATAGTTTTCAATCTTGGTACATTATCTCATTTGTAGCTTTCGAGATGCAAAACTACACGAGATATAAGGAATTAAGACTTGATGATCAGGTCTTAATTCCTACTTCCTACACAGTCTACGGGACTTTTGCCTACATTTTGCCACTCTCATCGGTTGAGAAAACAGCGCCAATGAGAGAGCCAAAATGTAGGCAAAAGTCACACAAATCGTGTCGACGTCAGAGAAGAAGTCAAAATGAAATTAAAAGAAACCCGCTATCATATTCACCGAGAAATTCTGCATCTAGCATCCAAGTTTCATCCTGTTCTATTCGGCGCAGTACATAATTCTCTAATGTAAGCGTTTAAATTTTAAGTTTTTCTCTTAAAGAAACTTCGAAAATAAGTCCGTAAGTAATAAGTACGAAACGTAAGTCGGTAAAGTTTTTATTTTGGATATATCCCATATACCAAAGAGTGCTGTGACGAAATCTGTTTTGCTCTAGATAGGCGTAATCCTCAGTCACATTTGCTACGAAAAGGTTTTTTCGAAGATTCTCACAATTCGCTAAGCTTCTTATTTCTTCCTACTCAGCTACATGTTCACTTCTATTTTTTGTAAGTCCGTAACTCTCGGTATTATTTGTATAAAAACCGAACCATGTAACTATAACTAATGACAGTTTGTTGGTAGGCAGAGCTCATCTACCGCTATCAGCTGACATAAAAATGACCCCCGCAGTCTCATTTGCCACAGAGAAAAATGTGAAGGACTAAAAAAACGTAAGCCTGTAACGCTTGGCCAGGTTGAAATGCTGTTGTTGGCGTTGGATTGATTTTTAAGTTCCGAACATTATATGACCGATAGGGGCAGGTATCAGGGTTCTGTAAGGACTGGACTGAAAATTTTTTGAGTTCATGTACTCGAACTGGACTAGACTCAAATTTCAAGACCAAGGACTGATCTGGACTCGAAAAAAAATTTTGGATTCACTTGAATCGAGGAAAAACAGGTTGTTTTTGTATTGTGTACTTGACTGGACTACTTTTTTAGAGTCCATGGACTGAACTGGACTCAGAATTCCGAGTCCACACGGAGTTCTGGCAGGTATTCAACCGGTCTATCTAAAATGATAGAAAAAATCCTACTGGCAGCTGTTCCCCATCAGTTTCAATGTACTTAGCTCTCGTTAGTAATGACTATTGTGTATGATGATCGTAATACTGAATGAGAAACGGCTATTAATAAATAATAAAGACTTTATTACAATGTTAGTTGCCATCAAGACAGAACCGTATCACAAAAATAAAAGTACAAAAAAATAAGGATAGCCTACTATCACGTCTCATCGACACTAGGTTATCCGCAGCATTGTTTTAATTAAATATTCAAATAAAGTTACAAGTGAAAAATTATTCATCACCTGCTTCGTAAACAATTTGCCACTATGAATTAGCGCGTGAGTATACTTCTGCTGCACTTAATTCTCGTCTATTAACATAAACTTCATCTATTGCACCTTGATAATAGCCACCAGATATTGGTCCACTACCACAAGCATTAAAATTAAAACCAAATGTTAAATAGTTATTGTAACCACTAGCTACATAGGCCATCGTCCCCGATGAACCAAACAAAATACCATTGATGTACAATCGAAGACCGTTTGCTTGACTGTATGTGTATCCAACGTGACTCCACTGACTTAATGGTAAAAACGGACCAACAACGCTGGGAAAATTTCCGTTGTATAGTACAACACTAATTTGTCCTGCATAGGTGAATCCTATTGCATCTATACACCAAACACTAGTACCACTGGCAGTCGCTGATATGTGTACGAGTGAACCACCCGCAAAATTAGTAGCAGTTGGATTAACAAACATTGTGATACTAAATGCATAATTAGACTGACCCAACTGGAAGAAGCCAGCTGCTTGAAAATAGGAACTTGCACCGTTGAATAATGCTGCCTGACCTATTCGCCCGCTCACGGCGACCACATTCGATACCGTTGTTATATTCATATTATTTGGTCCACTATCTTGTGTTATACCACCAGACGAAGTGTCAAATGAATAATAACATACGAGCGTAGCATCACTTAATATTTCACTTGCGCTCTTCGCGCGCGTTGTTACTACTAAATTGTCGATCAAACCGTTGAAATAATTTGACGGTGTATTAATTTGTGTTTTACCTATTGTGATTGATCCATTTTGTCCTGTGTAAGCACTCGCATTTGTCTTAGAACCATCTGCCACACCAAGCACATAGACTCTTTGAGTAAAAGACGAATAATCATAGACATAAGCAACGTGATACCATGTGTTAAGCGAGAGCGTTGAATTACCAGATAAATCGTTTTGATAAAATCCCATATAAAGTCGCCCATTTCTTACTATCAAATACAAGCACTGGTTAGCACATGTCGAACATTCACATTGACCAAATATCCCTTTGTCACCAGAAACGCTCGTCAGTAGAAATATCCACGCCTCTACAGTAAAACTAGTATACGAGAGATTCATAAATGGAGTAGTAATTAAAACAGATTGATTATAAGTGAGATATAGCGCAGCACCGTAATTAAAATATGTGGCTGTGGAGAAATAAGTAGCACCATTCAACAACACACTATTATTGTACACATTATTTAAATCTGATGTTGTATTATCGAAGGACCAATATGTAGTGTATACTGTTGGAGCTATAGTGGTTGTAGTTGTGTCTGAGGTGTCTACAATGGCACGAATAAACATATTTAAGAGAGGGAAGTTCAGTTCGAGAAATTATACCTGATCTATCAAAAATAAGAGCAATTGGAACAACAATGGCACTAATAATAAGAAATACTGCAATACATCCAGTTATCAATACACATCGCGTGGTCACCCAAGAAGGACGCCGACATCTAAAAAAACAACAACATAAGATTTATCAGCACAAACTTAGCTGTATCAAACGTCACATATACTCACCAGAGGTGGGACCAATTCGGTTTCAAACCGAATCGAACCGATTTCGGTTCAGTTTGAGAAAGTTTAGGTTCGATTTGGTTCGGTTGCAGAAAAACACGAACCGGTCTCATCTCTGCTGGTTATATGTTTTTCAAAATAAATATTTTTTTATTGTTTGGTAGTGGAAACCTCGAGGTTTAAGCCTTACTTACATCTGTCTAGGACATTTTTTGGCGGCTCACGGATAGACCATGGCCTTCAAACTCTTAAGCGTCCACTTTCAGAAAAAAAGTTCAGCTATCTATGGTATAGCCGAGACTAACTCATGCAATAGGCCCATCGTTACTGTCCATCCTTAAAGTAGCTTAAAATGATAACTCTTTAAAAGTTAGATTCGAGATGTTTCTATTTCGAACTAAAAAGTAAAATAAAAATCACCGTTTGAAGTATCAGAAATCGAAAGAAGGTACCATAGCCAAAAGTGTGTGCGAGAATAAGTATCGTACGTATACAAACATATGTGCGCAAAATGCCGAAACTTTGCTCATATGAAGACTTTTGCACAATTCTCTTTTTATTTAAATAAGTTGTTGCGATTCTACCAGATCTCCGTATTGACTGGGCTGCGCTGAAAATTTGTTGAGCTCATGCACTCGGACTGTACTGGACTCAAACTTTCAAGACGATGGACTAATCTGGACTCGAAAAAAAGTTTTGGATTTACTGAGATCGAGAAATAATCAGTAAAAAACATGTTGTTTTGTATTATGAACTGGACTCGAGGGGGAAACAGCTGCTTTTTGGATTTTCCCGATTTTCACCGATTTTTGTCCATTTCGCTGATTTTCACCTAATTGAAAGTCACCGGAAATGACTGGAAATCATTGAAAATCACAGGGAATTAGAGAGGATCACTGAAAATCAGTGAAAATCAATTGATTTTGGATGATTTTTGACTTATTTTATGCTGATTTCAGTCTGTTGTTTCCTCCTTGACCGGACTGGACTACTTTTTTAGAGTCCATGGACTGAAAAATCTGTTTTCATGGACTCTGTCATGAATAGAATATAGAAAGTGACTTGTTTTGCAGATTGATTTTTTTTCGTCCGATAGCGCAGATCATAAGCAGTCGGATAGTGGAGTACGGTCAAAACTTGTGACAAAGTCAGAGGCTACACTAATAGCCTTTAATTTTCTCTAAAGTAGCTTCCTGTGCTGTGCGCAAAAGGGTGTCAAAACTAGAAATGAAGTGTAGCTTGTTAAAATCATTTCGGCGGCATTACTAATATTACTGTGAATGATATTGTTTTTAAAAATTCCTAGCAAAAATATGAATATTTACTGGCAAAAAATGCATAAACAAACAGTCATCTGAAATTTTTGGTTGTTATAGAACAGTTGTTTTCCTGTCATAACAGGTCTGTTTTTCATTTTTGAAAGTGAAGTGAAAACACTTTCGAAGAGAAAGAATACACACGGAAACAAAGAACTAAAGTGAGGTGTGTTTGAATGATAAAGACAAAGGGTTTCACATATTATTCTAACATTAATTACATATAAAAAAGATTGATCGATTCGGTCCGGTTTGGTTTCAGAAAGTTTCGGTTCGGTTCGGTTTGAACTTCTGAAAAAAAGTATAGTTCGATACCATTCGGTTCGGTTGCAGAAAAACACGAACCGATCCCACCTCTGATACTCACTGATATTATTTAACAACTGTTTTCCAGTAAAAAAAACAAAGCAAGCAACTCACTTTGTTTTACTTGGTATTCGCCGAAGTTCATCGTGTTTCAATTTTCTTACTAATGGTGTTACGGTTCTACCCTGGAATTATGAATTATAGATATATATTGAAATTCATATTATTTTCAAAACGTACATGTCCAGCTCTTTTACCCTCGATAAGTGATGATGTTGATTGCGTTGCGTGCGATTCAAATGTGCGCTGGTTCGACGAAAAATGACCTACATGCTCGTCTATATTCTTCGGCATGTATATACCTTCCACTTCACTACTGGTTGGCATTTTTGTGCTGATTCTATAATAAAAGAGTATAGAGTTGTCGTGTTTCAATACACCTTGAGAGAGTCAAATAATTATCCTTTGTATGTAATTTAAACTAGCAACTAAGTTCATCGAGTAAAAGAAGGCAGTGTCACAGATCTTATTTTTTTAACGAAAATTTTAGTTTACATCAGACTATGTAGTTAGGCATGCACCCGAGTAATTGACTAAGAATTTTATATTTTTTCAAAAACCTGGCGTTTCATAAATTGTTTCATTAAAAATTTTCTGACTCGGTAAGAATATAGAGCAAACATTTCTCTATACAATGAGAGGTTGGACAGCTCTGCATGATTTGTTTCAAGATTTTGGTAGCGATACCTCAAGAACACATAATCGAGTAGTAAATAGTATCGAGTACTCGGTTAGTCCTTTAGGGGATATCGCTGCCGGAATCTCAAAACAAGTTATATAATGTTGTACAACCTCTTATTTTTTAGAGAAGTGTTTGCTCTACATTCTTATCCAGTTAGAAAATTTTTAATGTAGCAATTTATGAAACGTCAGGTTTTTGAAAAAATATAAAATCCTTCATCAGTTACTCGATACATGCCTGAATGTGGTGCATGATGAACTTTCTGCATAAATGACAAAGACTGTCACATGCTGAAAGTAAACATTGAAAATTGAGATGAATAAAATGTTTTGTTCTTTTGTTATTGTACTGAAAACATCTTTCACTCAGAAGTTGTGTAAAGTATACTAGTATTCTAAATGATGTATTATACACCTTGGGGCAAAAGACAAAATTGATTTAATTTCATTTGAATAACAGAAATATACTGAGAAGAGAATTTATTTTTTATACTGTTCGAGGAACGCATCGTTTTATGAGTAAAGAGAGAATGCATGAAATTGTAATCAATAAAAGATTAACATAATCTGCATTACAGGCATCAGCGTATGTAATTTCTAACAGTAAAATAAACTATTGATTTCGCACAGCAACCACAAAATAATAAAAGAAAATAGCAGTCTATGACGAAAACAAATTAACAGGTGGGCTAGATTAAATGATGCACTTTTGTACAGTATTTTTTCTCGGCAAGGACTTGGCTTAAAATCTTAGTACAAAGACATGTGTTTTCTTTAAAAATATATTTACATTTTTTTGTAACATTAAAAACACGATTAGTCCAAGAATCAACACTATGATGAACAGCAGATGATCTTATTTTTTTACACCACATCGTATTTGATCGATTAATGTTTTTTTCTTTGTTACTTTATTCCAATTCATATTGCTACACAACTCATACCATATCGAACAGTTTAACGCGTTATGGTTCCGGTCTGTTTCGACGACCAACGTGATTTAAACCCAAAATTCTAAAAATAATTTTTTCACTATGTTTGGGTGTGATGATCTTTATGAGTTGGAGCCACGTCTTGTTCGAATATAAATTCATTTTCCATTAGTTTATAACCATCTGTCTATGCTGTTGGTAATACTTCACCGAAATAACGTTGATGATGTATGGCTCGCTTTCAGTAATAACTGGCCGTGTAGCGTCAGCATAACAACCCTGGACGTTATTTCTGGTAAGAATCATATCTGAGTCTTATCAGATTCTTACATAAGTCCGCATGAAAATGGCAAGAATTTCGTACGAATCGGATAAGAATCAGGTAAGATTTAAATAAGAATGAGCTATGCCTTTGATAAGACGCTCTTATCACTGTCTTATGAAATTCATAATAAAATCCAGATACCGTCTTATTTTGCAGAAGCACATACTATATAAGCACTAAGCATGCACCGGTTATTTTATCGGGGCTCTTGGGGGTAGTAGTTTTAAAAATCGGAGAAACTTTTATTATATGTTTTAGTCGACAGTTTTGTGCATAAATGTCTGCTCTACCAAATAAAAGACGTCGCAGACTTTCTCATGATGGTTCATCGATGAGATATGAATCTTTTTTTCTAAAATAGGACCAGTTAACCGTCGGTTAATAACCGATTCGTTTTTGTCGAAGTTTATTAGATGAATTACCATCAACTGATTATTATTATTTCTCCTATCGGTATCGCAATCTTGGTAGTTTGGCAAAAAACTAGGATAAATACAAGGAGGCCGTAGAATATCATTCAAAAGCATATGAAACAAAATTAGATGATTGTAATAGTAATAAACGGAAGCCTAACTGTTAATTATAATCAACTAGGTATTATCTGTTATAGCTTCAATGATTTCAGAAGTACTTTGGAATATCAGACAAAAGCATTAGATCTCAGAAAAAACATGGTTCATTATTCATCATATTTAGGTCCTATTGGTAATATCGGAAATGGCTATAATAATATAGGTAAATACGATTTAACTATAAAATGTTACGAAATACTGAAAAAACAAAGTGTAGCAGCCGATGATTGAAAAATATTAATACCGATTGCCAATATTCGCGACTGTACTGATCATGCTACTATAAACGAATTACACGTTATATTGAAAATACATATAAAATTTTACGAAGAAGATACGGAAACAGGCGCTCTCTGAGAGGCAGTCAGACGACGCGAAGGGGAGGAGAGCTAAGTGTATTCATGCTAGTTATCTACCTTATGCCAATATCCCCCGTCGCGCGTTTTTTCATTAACCAACCTCTGTACCAAATTCAGCGTTAACCGAAATCTGACTTTTGGGTACAGTTCACCTATAGGTGTGTCGTGGAATACCTTGTCCCAATATGCTTTTAGCCCCGATTGTCTGATGGGAAGGAACTTATAAAAAATAAAATAGTACGTCTTTTTTCCAATGGATTTGTAGTGTGCTCCGCAAAGATGTGTCATTTTGTCGCCAATGTAGATCTTGCAATTTTTGTCTGAAAAAAGAATAGTTATGGGATAAAACTGTCAAAGAGGATACAGCGACATTACCGCGAACGACGTTACCGCGAACGACATTACCGCGAATACAAAAAACGACATTACCGCGAAGACTTGTTCGTTGGAAAAGCCAAATACATGGGGCCGGTTTGTATTTTGTACATCATGTTTTCAAACTTAACTGATGTTATGTGGTGACTAGTCATTATCTGATACAACCACAGATATCTAGTTTCCCATTACGATAATATGTTTTATGTGAAAATACTTTCCGAACTCACTCTCACAATGCCCTCTCCCCACTTCCCATCTCCCTCCACATGATATACAAAGTACAAAACCAGGCTCATTTATTCTTCTTTTCCAATAAACGAGTCTTCGCGGTAACGTCGTTCACTGTAATGTTGTTTTTTGTATTCGCGGTAATGTCGTGTCACGGTCAAAGAGCCTACATGTGCATCTTGATCGAGATACTTTTCGCTCAACCACTATTGATTTATACGCCGGTCGATGCGGCTTGACGCATTGACTCCAAATATCGAATTTCTTCTGATTACAAACTCTTTTTCTACCACCTTTTTTCGATTTAGAACAAAAGTAGTTGATATTGTTGAGCTTTTTTCGCTCTTTCGATGACGACATTCACAATGGAAATGACGACACACGAATTGATCTACTGAACGTGTTGGTAATTCTGTCCGACCTGTTTTAGAAATTCGCAACCACAACCAGATACAGATATTTAGAAAACGAAAAGATAGCTAGTCTGAATGGGCGCTCTGAAATCCTGCAAAGGTTGCGGCAGGATTAATTGTAGATACTTGACACTCGGACCAGTTCGTTGCTAGAGCCAGTCTAGCGTCCTGTAATTGCGGTGCTCTAGCTGTGGCACTATCCTCTGTGCATCAAACAGGATCGAAATGATCGTTGCTACATTATGAAAGACTCAAACGGCAAAGCGATCTTACACTGAGAAAACTCACATGATAACTCAACCTTTGTGTGCATTACTCTCACTGTTGTGCATTTTCATTCTGAGATTTCTGCGCAGTCAACAAATTTAACTGAACCTTCACATGAGAGAAGACTTCAGATGTGGTGCATTGTCCGAGAAAGAATATTCTCTTTCGATTCTAAAACTGTCAAGAAGAAAATAATTCAACTTTGAGACAAAAAAATAAATTTTCCTCTTCGAATGCTCTTCTTCTCTCGAAAATTGCTGTGTACTTACTGATGACAATAGTCAAATAGTTAGTCTATTTCCATTAACTACAACAAACCCCCAAAAAACACTCATTGCACTGCGTTAAAAGGTTAAGAAATGACTTGTATTGTATATCTATTATATACATTAAAGGAGAACAAAGAATAAACACAGTGGACTAGGGATGGCTCAGTGTCGGTGCACTGATAACCGACGACGTCGACACTGACGATCACCGATACACTAAAATACTGACACTGGCAAGCACTTGACACACTGTTGCACCTACACTGACAATCACTGGAACACTGAATTACTGACACTGACCGTCACTGACCAGAATACCTAGGCAGAAGATCAAAAGTCTTTCCGTGTCCATTACCATTATGAATCATGTGTATATTCCGTCGATGTTTTCTTTCTTTTGCTGGCAGGCGTATAGGCGCACACGTAAACAATTCTCTTCTAGCTAGAGGCAGTGTGTCAGTCTTCCAGTGTTCATCAGTGTCAATGCTTCAGTGTTTCAGTGATTGTCAGCGTCGGTGCGTCAGTGTGTCAAGTGTTTGTGAGTGTCAGTATTTCAGTGTTTCAGTGATCGTCAGTGTTGGTGTCATCAGTGTCAGTATCTCAGCGTTCGCATCGACACTGAGCCATCCCTACAGTGGACGATAATATACGCACATTGTCTGTCTGTTTTTCTCCTTCTATCAACGGATGGACGAAATAAAAGAACATTACATCGTTACAGACTGAGATAGAGAAAAATACGAAGTCAGTGTGATCCTAGTTTCGTGCAAGGATTGATTTTGTACTTTGATAGTTTAAGGAACACAATGATATAAGAATAAAAACTTTTCCTCAACGTTGGACAAAGGAAAAATCGCCTCAAGATCTTGTCTCGAATTAGACACGACCTTGCTATAATCCTGCCGCAATCCCGTCACTCTCTTGAAACACAAATGAAACGGGATCGCATAACGAACTTGATCAAGAATACGATTACAATTATAAGATCGCGATTTTATTTTGCCAAGATAGCATTTTTTCGTTACATGGGAAAAAATCGAGTTCGTGATCACATCTCAGCAAGAATGAAACGGGAATACCACTAGGGTAAGCGGCCAGTGTTAATAATAATACGGCGACTTTGTGTGTAACGAAGGAAGAATGTTATGTAGAAAGAATATAAATATATAGAGATATAGAGAGACAGTCTTTTTGAGCTTCCTGAAAGTATCTCTTGTCCCCCACTCGGGAGAAAAAGAGGCACTTCATGCAAACACCAATTGACCACTACGTAAGCTTTAGCGATAATCAGTTGAAAAATACCTCATTTTG